AAATGTGTGTTCAGTTGATCAAGTAATTAGTTGATCTAGTTGGATATAGATAGCAATACAGGTGATAGGTAATACGTTGTAGAGGCATCATTGTAGAAGCAGAAGCACTTCTCTTAAGTAGATACCATTTTGCACTGCTTAGGGTATGCACTGTTAACACATACATTCAAAACTGCTTCATATTTTAATTATCACCAGGTATTTGCTTAAATAGCAACTCCTGTTTTGAACAAAACCATTCCTTTAACCATTTATAACATTAAACTAACCTTTTTCAGCCTAGTGCTTTCCAAATACGTTGGGACTATAATCCTCCAAATTCCCAGCCAGAATGATTTTAGTCACAGAAAGTCGTACTATGCAATGGTAACAAGAGGAGGTCTTCGCAAGCCTTTGCTCACACCCTCCCTCCTCTCATTTGTACCTGTTTCAGGTACCCTGTATGACTTGTTGGATTTTACTTAGAATTCATGGGGTCACTATAAGTCCTTGCTAGAAGAGAAGGATAATTATTAACTTAAATCTTAATGCAGCACACTCTGGGATGCAGTTTTGAGGTGGAAAAAGCTTACTTATACGTTTTCTGCCCAGGGAATACTCTGAGCAAACCAGAACTGTTCCCCTCTATAGCTTTGAGCACCGCTTGAGGAGAATTCTGCCAGAACAAATCAAATTCAGTATACCTTGAGTGTAAAGTCACAAAAGTCTAGCTAGGAAAAAAGGTAGAAATCTCATGTGCTTTGGCTGTCAAACAAAGGGTTTGGGGTATAGATATCACAGGAGAATTACAAGCCTGGATTTGCCCAGACTATCCCCTAAAAATCCAATTATCACATTTGTATACCCTTCTCCACAGGACAGATATACTTGAGGCTGTCATTTCACCCTCTCAACAGACCTATGAGGTAAATTAGGCTCAGATGTAGTTGTTAGTGAAGTAGGTTAGGCTGAGAGAATAGCTCTCCAGAGAAAGGCAGATCATACACTGATAATAATTGCATTTCAATTCATATATTGGATTTATGTTGTTCCAACTCTGTCCTGTCCTCTACAGCCTGCCCTCTCAAATTCTGCTCCAGAGGGCGCAAAGGCCTTGAATTGTGTTCAGTGCAACTTAGTTTTGGCTCTGAATAGCTTGTGCAAGAAATCAAGATTTTTAAAAATCAATGTCACTATATTAAACTAGGTTTTTTTAGAATGATTTGCCAGCTCAGTCAAATCAAATCTTTATTATGGTCATAGACCAGCATAGCAGCTCAGTCGTCATTCTCTCCTCAAAAAGGCTTATTAAGGGATTCATTCAATTTATTAAGCAGTGCTTCGTTAATATCCAGTTTTCAATGATGGCCAGATTCAGTGTGCTGAAGATCTATTCCTTCCCCATAAGTCTCACTTTAAAAGTACTAATGCATCTGTATGTAATATATGGCCATTTGGAAGCATGCTTGAAGCTTTCTGCTTTGAGAGGAAAATAGAAAAGCATTTCTATAATAATCACGGTGAATTGCCATATAGCAAGCTAGTGAGTAAAGAGTTTAGCTTTTTGAGTTACAAAATGGATTGTCGGCCTGGTGTCCACTGCTTCAGCTGCTTTCCTCAAAATGACAAAAGTAGCATGTACAAAATGGGTGGGGCTTCAATTACAGTGCCACATCCACCATCTTGCTTTTTTCACCCTTTCCCCTGACACTGCTGTCAATACATATTTCAGCTGCTGGGAAGGCTACAAAGCACAGGTGGAGAAAAGAGAGATAAGAATAATACAACAGGGCACAGGAGGCAAAAGTAACATGGGGTGAATGTGGAAGTGTGCTTGGGCTTTATTTGGGGAGATGAGAGAGTTGCAGAATCCACCCCTGCACTCCAGCGCTGCGTGTATCAATGGTAGATTTGAATTTGAGGCCAAGAAGTCACCTATGCAGTTTATCATTCACCAAATTTCATTGCAAATTTGAGCAGCTTCATTCAGCTGAAGTCATTTCAAATAACCTTTCTTTAGAACAGCAGTTCTGAACAGAGTATTGTGAAGTTGCTAATTATTTTGGATGTGGTATGCTAGTATTCTTGAGGGAGTGGAGTCTTGTTGTTCAGTCATTGTACTATATAAATTGATGGGGCTGTTTTTACTTTATTTCTGTTGGTAGTATATGATGCAATAAATTTCAGAAATCAAATCACCAAAATAGTATCAACCTATTTTGATTGACATATTGAAGTTGTTTATTTAGAACATATCAAAATCAAATGGAAGTCATTGCAATTAGTCAGTTATTGTGTTATCTTTTTTCACTTTTGGTTTTCAAATGCCACATTTCACAATTTTGGTGGTGCTTATTTTTTAAAAAAGCTTAAATATGAGAAAGTAATGCCTGACCCCATATTTTTTTTATTCCCTTTAAATAGGACTTCTTATTCCCTTCCCTTCCTTCTAATTCAGTCCAAATGTAATTTGTAACTGGAATTTATTGAAGTTTTAGACCAACCCATTCTAAAAGGCATCAGATTGGAGAAAGTTGCTATAATAAGGCTCTGAGATTCATCTCCAAAAAGTGTTTCAGAGCAGCAGGATGCAAATACAGCCCCTGCTGATAGTGGCGTAAAGCAGACAATATTTTAAAATAATTTTAAATGTAACTTTCTTTGTTCTCCGCCTCAAGTTCCCCTTCAAGAAAATTAAATAAATTATACTGTAAATATTTAAAGTAAGTAAATAAAATATTGAAATGAATTACCAATTCATTTATCAACTTTGACAACAGATCTCAAGTATGTTGACTTTAGAGTCAAATTGATTATGGCAGGATACAAATTTACTAAATAAATTTTTAATTTTAACTTTTGGTACTTTTTGCTTTAAATAAACAACTAAATGCATTTTTGTAACTGGCCATTGTAATTACTGATTTGATGCAATTGTGCGCTATTCACTATGGTTAAGATCTTAGGTAAGGGATCTCGTATGCAGTGCTTTAGCTTTTTTCCCATATCTGTGTTACCTATAGTATAGAATTGTATCAGCGCTATTAAAGGTTAGCTTTTAATTGATATTTTAAACTATCTTGAAATCCCTGCCTACAGCTACACATTGTCAGTGCTAATGTTAATATACTGTAGGTATTATACCTACTCTTTGTTCCAGGAAAGGAAAACAGAGAATTTTACTATGAGGAAGACAGGCTTTCAGGCCTGATTCCCAAATAGTACTGATACTATTAAATTGTTCTTGACTTTAACTGATAAATAAATAAACCCATCCATTACAGCTTAATGCTATTATGAATTAATTGTTATGGTTTGTTCAACAAACTCTGATTTAAGGATTCTAGCATTGTGTTATATTCAAATCCTGCTGCAGTCTTCTCTTAATATTTTGGAAATGTTAGGTCTGCTCACCTCAGAATCCCTCCCCTCCAAACCATTGTGCAATTATTGTTATTTCTAGATTGTATAGCATTAGTAACTAAATTGTATTCCTGTTTTTTTTTTGAATAAGTTTTCTAAGATCCTGGATTTGGGGGATTGTTTTCTTCCTTAAAAAATATCATACCTTCAGCTCATAGTGATCATATCATGGGTTTAGGAAGATAATTTATTTAACAATTCATGCACAACTTGGGGCAGGATGCAGGAGATCCCTTTTCAAGGAAAATAAAAAAGTTTTGGTGATCAGGTTTACTACTTCACACCAAAAAGCAATCACTTTCTCTCTGCATCTATGCATTCCTATGATAAAGCAGATGGCAATATAGAGGCAATATGGTGGAATGTATTGATCCTTGACAGGAGTAATGGGTTGCTCTAATGGGAAAATCATCCTTTTTCTTCAGATTTCTTTTTACAAGCAGAGAGTGGGGAAGGGAACTCTCTAGTTCTAATCTGAAATGCTGATCTAGTATTGAATTGAGTCATCTGGAATTTGCTCATCACATTCTGTTTTATTGTTAACAAAGAAAGCATATTAAACCCAATGGCAAATTTCTCCTCTCCAACAAGACATACATAAGTTTTCTAAATAAATAAGTGCATTGATATGAACTAGAGACACTTTGATGGCTGCATCTACACAGTTTCCTTGTTAAGGCAGATGAGGAACCTTACAGCAAATCATTTCTCACCAGACGTACCACATTCAAACACAAGTTGAGTGTGGTAAGATGACACTATGTAGACACTACAAGATGACAATATGTAGAGAGTGCGTGCCTTCAGTGTTTACAATAGCAAAAAGTCCTACATCTTACATCACTATATGTTTGAAGCATCTGTCTGTTTACAGTGTTCAGGAGGGTGGACATCTCTACTATTTATTTGGATCTAAGCAGCATACTGAAAGGAACAAAGGTAGAGTATGTGAAAAGAGAACAGATGTGAAAGAATAGAAGACAAAGGAAAATGATGCAAGCAGCTGTGTTGCATATGATTTCTCCTGTACTCAGAGCAGAGAACTTGCTGTTACCTGATTGTATTTGAGATGTTTTTTTCTGTCACGTCTTTGAATATTATTAATAGTCCTAACTGAAAAAGAAAAACAAGACAAATGACTAATGGGTATTTGTCCATTTGCTTGCTGTTTGTATCTTTCTTACTGCTCAGAAAACATAGATATTCAAATGCCACTATTTCAAAGGGCAAATGAACTTGCAGAGAATTAGATTTAATACATCCAATAATAGCTTCCTGTTTGGAAACTAAGCAATCATATTTTGTAATAATCCAGAAAGTGCCACACTTAAATGCATGTGTATATATTCTCTTTCTGACATACACACATGCATTTTTTCTTTTTTTACACACACACACTGGCCACATCTGGTTTTAGAAATTATTTAACGGTGGCAGCAGATGTACCATTATCACAGATTTCCCTACAGAATGTTAATAGGAATTACAGTAGTATTGTACTTCAACCATTTTACAAAATATTAAGTAGCTGTACTTAAGAGATAATTGCAAACAATAAAAGTTTTTAAATAATATCATGTTGAATCTTTTTCTGACAGAAAGCAGAAGAAGAGGACCTTGTTCTTACCCCTGATGGCACCAGAGAATTCCTCACTTTTGAAGTTCCTCTTAATGATTCTGGGTCAGCTGGACTTGGCGTCAGTGTGAAAGGTAACCGGTCAAAAGAGAATCATGCAGACCTCGGCATCTTTGTGAAGTCCATTATTAATGGTGGAGCAGCTTCTAAGGCAAGTGTATTTCAAACAAGTCAGATAACATTCCATAATCCAGCATCTCTTAGACAGTCCACTATTGATTTCCTGTTATACATCGTTCCTTCCTCTATTTCCCAGTTTTCCATTTGAATAATTAGTATGATGGTGATGATGCAGCAAATGCTATCTGCACTTTGGATGTTGTAAATATAATAATATATAGTTTATGTTTGCAATATGTCCAACATTATGATGGTATGCTTCAGCAAAACTCTGAGAGCTTTGATTTGAGGGGTTGGAAGTCTTTTGTCTCCCAGAATTGAATCAGCAACATAAACTATCTGAGCTGGATCCACACATTGTAGTAAACAATATAGTAGTTTATTTGGTTGATTTTGACTTAACCTGTTGGGAGAAAGTAACCATTTTGGTTTGTAAGCCGTGGCTTATGATTTAGTGTGAATCCAGCTGTTGTGACCTATTCTACATGGTTTAATGCAATGTGTGATCCCAGTCTCAATGGCTCTAACCAGCATAGCAACCTAATTACAGTTGTGAAATTTATTTATTTGTAAAATTTATAGGCTGGTCTAACCAATCACAAGTCTGAGTGGCTTACAAAAAATAAAAAATACAAAGGAACAAAAAAGAGCCCAGAGGGGCAACCCCAGATAAAAACTGAAAAACCACATAGGGATCTGTCACCCATTCTGACCCCAAAGCCTGGGAGAACAGTGAGGTCTTGAGGACTTGTTTAATTAAGGTCAGTGCGGGGGCCATATGAATCTCAGGGGGAATGTTGTTTCAAAGATTAGGTGCCATGATAGAGAAGGACTTCTTCCTGGACCCACCATGGGACCCAGTGCATGTCAACTCTGTCAGAATATATGGGACAGGCAGAAACTACTGGGCATAGGTAGTCCCTCAAATAACTAGATGTTATGCTGTGACAGGATTTATAGGTGATTACTGGCAGCTTGAATTGCACCTGGAAGTCTGCTCGTAACTAGCACAACTCACGAAGCAAAGGTGTCACATAGGCCTACCAAGGTATGCCCATAACTGTCTGTGCTGCTGCATTGTGACCCAGCTGTAGTTTCCAAGTGGTCTTCAAGGGCAGCTCCATGTAGAGTCCACTGCAACTGTTCAGATGACAGGTGACCAAAGTATGGGTGATAATGTGGGTAGGATTTTAGAATACCAGGCAGTGCTGTCATCTCTAGCCTTTATCTCAAGGCTAGAGGAGCCAAGAAAAGAAAGAAACCTGCTGAACTGACTTCATTACATATGTCAAAGTTATATTTATAATCCTTGAAACCACAATTAAGTATTCTTTGCATATCTTTTTTCCTTTAGAGGAAATTATTTGCAACTAGGCCCTCTTCTCTCTTGTATTCTTTAAGATTCATTTATATAGGAGAAAAAAGGAGACTCCAAAGCTTAGTGGAACAATACTAACAAAAGCAGGATTAAAATAGCATTTCCATTTATCATGGAACAGATTATGATATTTATGTGAAATTCAGGTGTAAATGACTGGAAAGTTATATCTATGAATACTTATTCAAAAGCTTTTTTAGCTGTATTCACTTAAAGTTTGAGAATTAAGGGTTCTCAACTGAACCCAGAACTGAAGATGCCCAAAATATATTTAATTCTTTACTAAATTTCATTAGATCTCAGATTACATTTGATACAACAAAAAATAATAATCCTGATTTCTTGGACTCCATTGCATTTGTACAGATATTAGGAGATCATCAAGTTGTTGTAGATGCAACCTGAACAATGCTTCATTAAAACATGTTTCTGCAATGTTCCAAAGTTGTTACGTTCTGGGAAAAAGTAATTACCTATATTAATTTGATTTTGAGGCAAAGTTTAATATTCTTATTAATATTTAAATATTCATATAATATTTTTGAACACATGCGTTATTTTGAACTACATGTCTACTACATGGAAATTAATAGATATACAATGGAAGTAGATTCTCTGTGCCTTTACTATTGCCAAGAGATTAATTCTTCAACATTGGGAAGACAAATTTATGGTCCCAATTACCCAGTAGATTGAATACCTGATATTATTCATAAATTGATAGTCATATTTTATCAGAATCATTGAGATACAATCCATGTCTATAGGCAACTCATTCATAAATTGATAGTGAGTTGCCTATAGACATGGATTGTATCTCGATGATTCTGATAAAATATGGTCAGCTTTTATTCAACCTGTTATGTAAAATTTCATATATATACATTTACATCTATATATGCATGATAAACCTCTATCTATCTATCTATCTATCTATCTATCTATCTATCTATCTATCTATCTATCTATCTATCTAT